CATTCTGTTTGAATGTAATAATTGACTGAATATGGAAGAAATAACGTAAAATCTGACAAGGCAATGTTTCTTTGTCCATATAATTGAGTGAAATTTCGTAAAGTTTTATACTCGCAAAATCAATGTATTGCGTAAAAAGGGCTAAGTTAAAACATTCATAGCCTTTTTTTAATTTAAGTGCCTTTGAAAACCTAAACTCACACTAAAGAAATGAATTATTTGAGAGTTAATACTCACAGTTTTAATGTATAGGAACTATTTCCGAACTAAAGCAAAAATATGTTAAAATATGTTAACAATTTCCAAAATGGGACGGCTGTTAAATATTTAATTAACGTTTTTTTTTCAAAAAGTAAAAAATAACAATGTTGCATGCCTGTAACAGGAAAATTGAAATCAATTATCTAATTTGCGCTTTCATATGAAAGAACAAGTAGTAAATCTGCATAACAATTTCTCAGGGAAAATATTCGTGGCCTTAACTGAATCACAAACCCGGTTAAAACACCTAAAGCGGACATTTCAAGAAAGTCTTTGGTGAATTGATCACCAATTTGAGCATTGAACGCAGGTTTTTAGACATCGAAAGTTTTGACCGAGTTTATTTGATTTAAGTAAGCCTTCAATGATTCGAATGTTTTAGTATCAATTTTTTTATTATATGCCCTTTTAGCAGCCCATAATTTTTTCATCCGTTTCTTTCTTATACGTTCATACCCATTGAGGAAAGAAATTGTTCTGGCATTTTAACGTGGTGTTATTGTGCTTTTTTTGTGAAATGTCAATTAGTAATAGCAATGTGTCATTGTTGCTTGGCCATGATGTGATGTGTACCCGTATGGTCCTTTCTTAATCAATATTTTTCTTTTGGTTACTTCATACTTGAACATTATTTCATACCTCTTATTATACATTATTAATTAACCATTAATTTTCACTTTAACGTAAAAATAGTTAATTTAATTCTTGACCATTCGACGTACATGATATGCTTTGCGGACATATTGATCTTTCCTGATTCACTGATTTAATAATTAAAAAAAACTAAAAAAAATGACATCGTATTGATCCTGTGACTGAATTGCAAACTACATTGTTAATACTGCTCATGTTCTCTTGTTTATTTAGAGAAGCATTTTCCTTGAGAAACTACCTGACAACACGTCTGTGGTATTTTAACTATTTTTGCTAGAAATCAATCTGCCTAGGGCACAAATACTACGAACACTTTTGGAAAAAAAATATTAGTCTGAACTTCACGACACGGACATTGCATACTTTGTAGTTGATTTAGTAATTAATGTACTCTGGTATCGTTAAGATGCGTAGGATCATGCCTCAATTTACTTGTTCTCACCAGGTGTCTTGATTATTTGCTTGGTAGCTACGACGTCGCGACCAAAATTGGCTCTAGCTGAAAGGTTTCACCCCGGGATTTGCAATAGAGCGTAAATGTGTGTATTCGGTCTTTATGGTTTTTTATAACACCATGTTTTATAATGCAGGAGAATTTCGCAATCATATGCACTGATCGTCTGACTTAATACAAGCAACATTATTTTAATTTTGTCAGTGCTTAGTCAATTTCAAACAGGAGTTGAGCTACTTTACGCATATTGCTGTCTAAAACATCTTGTTAATGAGCCAGAGCAACGGATCAGAGCTGCTGAATTGGCCCTTGCACGAGTTGTGGTCTGCACCCTCTTTTCAAGTCACTCAATGTCATTGATGGCTGCCATTTCAGCAGACATCTTGCTCATGCGATCCCATGCCGATCGGACTTTCTCTTCCCTCTCCATGAGGATACTTGCGACATTCTCGGCAAGGCTGGTGGCTTCGGGCGTGAGAGGGCAAGCGCTGGAGACGTCGAATTGAAGACGAGCCCCAAGAGTTACCAGATCGTCGGTGAGTTGCTGCAGAGCAGTCCCTGCAGCTACCTTGGCTTCGTGAGCCATGACAACCAGGGTATCTCTGCCGTCTAGGTCAATATTTATTCTCAATATGACCTCCTTCAGATGGCAAACTTCTGCTTCTTCCAGCTCA